CTTCCAATCTGGATTGAGTGCCGTAATTTCTTCTTTTCTGTTAAAGTTGTTTTGGTGTTTAAATATTTCGATGGCCTCTCTGGTGAGTCTCGGGTCGTATCTTTCAGATTGGTGCAGAATGTCCACTTCGTCGAAGCGTATTTGGTGGCCGTCTAGCAGTGCGTGCTCCGCTACTGCTGATTTTTTCTGTTTGTCCCAATCTGCAACTTTGTTTGTGCTCCGGATCCTAGTGTTTATGCTTCGTTTTTTGGTGCCGATGTATGCTCTTCCAAGATCCATAAACCGGATGTACCACTGAGACCCATTGTGAGCGCTATTGGAAGTCCGACCTACAATATTGCAAAATATCTAGCTAAAATGTCACAGCCAAAAATTGGAAAAACGGACAGCTTTATAAAGGACTCATCCCATTTTGTTCACTCGTTGTCGTTGTAGCCCGGGAAAATCCTTGTGAGTTTTGATGTGGTTGCATTGTTCACAATGGTATCAATCAGGGAGGCAATGGAACTTGTTGCGAGATAATTTCCACCAGACATCGCCAAACTCTTCGAACACTGTCTAAGCACAACCTACTTTCAGTGGAACAGCGAATTCTTTGAGCAGACGGATGGAGTAGCAATGGGCAGCCCTCTTAGTCCAGTAATAGCCAACTATTTTATGGAAAAATTTGAGAAGAACGCTCTGGACACAGCCGTGAGGAAACCTAAGTGTTGCTTTCGTTATGTTGATCACTTCGCCCACTCCCTCATCGCCTTTGATAATGTCCACCGCAGTTGTGGACAAAGCGTCAGGAATAAATTCCCATAGAACACGGCTTCAAAGCCCGGAAAACATTCCTAAATGTGATTCTTCGTATTGACGTGTGAGGAACTCCAGAAGATGTAGCCAGTTAGCGTTGGGCTTAGTTAGTTACTTTGGGTATTGACAAGTGCCACGTGTAGCAAAACCACGGTTTCAATAGCATTTTTTCCCACCGTTCGAATTTAATGGTGCAGAATATTAGTAACAGATCCAGATTCTTCAAATTTCTTGCTTAATTTTATCACATACTTATCGTTTATAGTTCTGTCGGGATGTAACTGATAAAGATGTATGTCAACGGGCGTTAGCTCTGGGAGAACTTTCAATTATTTCTACTCTTTTGCGAATCGAAAATTTCATTCAATTGAAAGATGTGCAAGTTAAGTTGAAAATCGTTTAAGAACACACAAAACACACATCTGACAGCGACTTTTTTGATTTGTTTTGCTGATCAGTAGGCATCCATAGAAACGGCAATCTGGAATACTTTCAAACTAGGTCCTGGTAACACTGTGTCGAGTTGTGCTTTTGAGTTGTTGCTGCTCTCTGAGTTAATGAGTTATAAGTAATTAATTAAAGCGGATCGAAGCTTTACCAGACCCCAGACTGGAATTTTAACATCTAAAAAAGGGCTGATTGGTTGAAAATACTGTCTTTTTGGTTTTTGCTCTGAACGGCAAAACACCTGAAATTTTCAGGTAATCTTAAGAATTCTTCAGAGCGATGAGGGCGACGAGTTTTCGAAATTGTTGATTATATGCTTTTGGTTTCTCTGATCGTTTTCAGGGAAAACTAAAATTTTTTCGAAAAAAAAACAAGAGATCCGATTTTGTGTCAAATTCAAACGTAAAACGGGTATTAGAAAAGTTCGGGAAAATGTTTTTGGGAAAAACCCGGAACAATGAATAAGGGATTTGTCTAAAATACGAAGCTGCAAAAGGTTTTCGAAATATTTTTACAAAGCGGTTAAGGAGGCGAGTCATAAAATTTCATTTATAATTTTTCATGAAAAACACCTGAAGATTGTAAGGTTTCTTAAGTAGAACTTCAGAAAATAATACGTTTTTTTGCGTAAAACGAATTGCGTAAGAAAAACTTTGTTACAACTGGAAAGACCTAAAATTTTAAAGAACTTCCAAATCATTTGGTAAACTTTTGCTCTCTGGTCGTTTTTTAAAGGTAATATCTTAATTACTTTCGGTAAACAACTAAATAAAACTATTAGGTTTTTGTGCCAAATTCGAAGCTGAAAAGACTTGTCTAAAATTCTCTGCAAAGCGATGATTGGGGCGAATTTTCGAACATACCTAATTTTGGATTTTTTTGCTGACAAGACCCCATGATTTTCAGAAAATAAAATAACAGGTTTTCTTGCGATTTTTATTAAAAGCTTTCAGTTTCAGAAAAAACGGAAGAAATTTATTTTCAATTTTGTCCCGAATTAGACGCTGAAAAATATTTTTGTAAAATATCTACAACGCTATAAATTTATCTTGTAATTTTTCCCGAAACTGTACAAAATAGAGCGTTTTTGAGTAGTAAGTAAAGCAAGAAAAAATTCAGTCTGAACAAAAAACACAACAAATACTACAGGCTGCAGATGCATGGGGATGACCAGTTTTCCAAATAATTAATTATAGACTTTCGCTTATTGTGTTCTTTGTTTGATTTAATTTTTGTCCCAAATTCGAAGTTGGAAAGAGATTTCACACTTTTTGAAAAGCGAAGAAAGAGACGAGTGTTCCAATACAATTTATTTAATACCCTAAGATTGTCCGAATTTTTAAGTGAAACTTTAGAAGATTGAGCGTTTAGATGTAAGAGTATCTGCTAAAATTGGAAAATTCTGAAATTTTGATGAAACTTTAAAAGTATTATTATTTTTGCCAAGCCATTTGCGCATCATTGCACCAACTCCAAAAAATTCACTGAGTCACCCAGGCCTATTTCGAATGGCTCAATATCTCGTTCATTAAACAGCATTTGTACAGCGAGAAATGCAAATAAAATTTAAACGGTTGGAGATAGATATGTGACATGCCATACTGAAATAAACTGATAGGTTTTTGGTTTTCGTTTAAATATCAAAAGTGTGACGTAGTATCTTGTTTATGAAACACGCTGTATAATGCAATGATCGTGAGAAAGATGTAACATTTTAAATCAAAGTTGACGTGTTCGAGCGTTTTTTTCGAAATCTACCAGGAGAGTCATAAATAGGGGTGCGGCCCTTTCGTCGGCCCACCCTGTAGATAATTTAAATACTGTTTATCAAACAATTCACATTTCTTAAAGATCTTTAAAAACAGGAATCTTGAATCAATTGAATACTGACAAATAAAAATGAAACGAATTTGGTTTTATTTTAACGATATATTTAACATAAAGATGGATTACATTCTGCCCTTATCTAAAATACATCAATAAAATGGACACGGAAAGTTAAAATGCTATGGCTAATACAGACTTCAATAACAGCAGAACATTTGTTTTGATGAACGGTATATGTTTATACATAGATACTTTCCAGACAAAATTATTTTCACATTTTGAAAATGTAAACTTAACCAAACAGTTTTAAGTAACTAACAATATTAGTGTACAGCGCATTTTGTACAGCTTACTCAAATGTTCAGAGTTAACCGTTTTGATAAATAATTTTACATTTAGATCTAACTTACTTAAGTATAATCACACTTAAATTGTTATACTTAAGACGTATCAAGCGTCTTCCTTAAAACTGGGTTAGAAAAAGTATTTACAAACTAATTGAAAATTAAATTAAAACAGTTATAATCTTACAACAACGTTACTTTGAGATGGCTTTGAAGATCATCTGGACTAATGGTTTATACTGAAGTAGCGTTCTGTGTAAGTTATGGCATGCTTCTAATAAACAATTAATTGCCCGAAGATTTATTTTCGATAGTCTTGGCCTTGAATGATATATATCCTTAAAACATTTTTAATTGTTTATTAACTTTCTTAATTGTTTATTAGACTGAACATTTTTATACATTTTCTGTGAAAACACCAGTGATTTCTTATGGAGTTCCATTTCATTTAGTGAACTATTGAATAATGCATAACAATTATTTTGCCCTGACCTGTTAATAATGTTGATATAGTGTACGTACTGTTAGGACGTCTGGTAATGGTATGCATTCAAATGAAACTTTCCCTATACAAAAGTAGCACAGTTACTGGAGTTAATCGCCCTACTACAGATATTTTAACAGGCTGGGGATGAAAGATATTTGTTGTCAAATGCAAAAGTACAATTAATGTGGCGGAAAAAAATCCATTATCAAGGAAAGGTTTTTGAGCTCTATTTCGTCAGTCATTTGTGACCTAGTTTCCTTTACTGAAACACCGCATGTTAGCGCGAATAATTGATGAACGTCCTTCCTAATTAGTTAAGACATAATTTGGAACCTGTGCTAGTTGCGTACGTCTCGACTCACTCAACACTATCAGCAGTAATAATAATTATTCCGATGGTGTCGTGTTTCTTGAAACTGAACCGACGTCTATTACAATCAGCCCTCTAAAAGGATAAATTAATTTAATACCTGTAACATTAATCAATTCTGAGCTAATGTTATACAAATTTATTAAAGCATATTTACCACATTATTTCCCCATATAACCGTAATCAAACCAATGATAACAAAACGTTAATCAATAGATTATTTTTTAGGTTTGAAAAGTTGGACTTGATGGTAAAAACTTGCCAATTTTAATAAAATGTGCAACGTTTTCAATATGCAGTGTATCCCGACATTGTTTGTCAACAATAATACCTGCTGCGTGCAGAAGACCTGAAAATAAGGCCAATACTTCATATACAATTTTTTCCAATCTGACTTCTATATCGAATTATGGCCCTTAAACTGTTGTTCAAACAAGTTGAAAAATTTAATTTATTCTTAATTATTACGCCATTTATTTGACGTTTGTGAAATGTTTGCAGCAAAAGCAGCTCATAGATACTCGTCTTTTTTAATTGGAAATGTCTCCAAAATCTTGGTACAAGTACAGGTGTAGTACAGGTATCTTGTATTGCCAAATTTGGGGATGTGAACAAGCACTTAGATAGACCCATTTTTTGCTTCAAAAAAGATTTACCGTGTTTTTATCGATATCTCTTACGGCTTTTCAGATGAAACACTTTTTGTCGTTTGTAGTGATCAAACTAAAACTATCAAGGTAATACTCGTACGTAGGTGAAAATAAAATCCAACCTTGTTATGATTAACTAAGGTAAATATTCAAAATGCGACCGGTTTGCCTCCATACACTTTGCAAAATTGTTTAAACATATTAGTTGCACCCGCAATAACATATTATGGTAATTTCTAATAATATTAGAATATATGGATCGGCCGAGGCGGCACTATTCGCTTGCCACCCCGTTCTCGTGGCCTTAACCAATTGGATTTTTGCTTCACCTCATGGCATTGGTTTACTCTACTCCTGTTACCACTAAAGAAGAGCTCTGAAATAGCATTATTGCGTATTCCAATATTTTTAGAAATGACCGAAATATGTTATTCCAGGTGAAACGAAAATATTTAAACAGTCTTACAAAGTGCATAGAGACAAACGGGACGCATTTTGAACATTTACCATAGTTAATTATAAGAAGGATCGATTTTGTTTTCACATACGTATTACTTTGATAGTATTAGTTTTATTACTACAAAATATGAAAATAGTTTTTTTTTATCTCGAAAGCCATAAGAGATATCGAGAAAAACAAGGTATAAGTTTTTGAAACAAAAAAATGGGCCTATCAAGTGCTTAACGGAATCGGAAAAAATTGTATATGAAGAACTGGCCTTATTTTCCGGTCTTTTGTACGCACTATTATTGTTGACCTACAATTTCGAGACACCCTGTATGTGATTTCAACCAATATTTGCCCAATTTTGAGGCCTCATGAATAATTTTAGTGAATTTAAGAACGCGATGGCTTTGAATTCGGTGGAAAATAGCCTTTTTAATAATAAAACACACCCAACAAATCAATAATAATAATAAGCAAATAAGACGAGAAAATTAGATTTAGTGTCGGCAAATCAAGTAACGGATAAGGCTTATAATATCAAATCTTGGTATTGATGATAAAAAAATTGAAAAAATTATCCCAAATATTGTGAACACTTATTATTAAATTGTAGGTAAAAATCAGTAAAATGTAACGGCGCTGTATTTAGTATATCCCTTAATTAAATATAAATTGTAAGTTGAAAAAGAGAACATATAAATTATAAGTCTTTTTTTCTGTTTTGCCTTTGATGACAGCAACATTTTTAAATGCGGCCTGCCATCAGGAAATATTGCTCCCCTTAAAGTGTGTACGATAATCAATTCATTTCCAAGGCATCACCTAAAGTTAATTTGACAAAATGTAATCAGCTAAAGTTCAGGGATATTCATGAGGCAAAAGTTACTATGCCTACGATCAAAATCAACGTTCTTCTGATGGATAAACCTTCAAAAGTGTATGCAATTGCTCAATATGGAAGCACCATAAAAACTAGCTCATACTTCTATGAAAGTTTAAAAATGTAGCATAATCAGGATCTAATCAAACAATACAATTTCCTTCCAAATATTTCAAACAGTTCGTTCTTACAAGTTGCAGACAGATCCTGTTTCCGCTTCAAGATGATTTATGGCATTTCGATTCTAGAAATATTCAGTCCCAATGGTTAAAACAAAATGATCAATTATGATAATGATATTAATCAAAAAGGCTGATAAACATGGCGAACATTTTAAAGATTCAAATTGTACGGGATTATCAAATATTATCTGTGTTTCGTTATGTAAAGCTCCTATGTCGAAATAGCGTCATCTAGCTCGAAGTTAAATTTAAATCAGATATTGCCGGAAATAAGCTCTTAAGCCATGCCTCCCTAGAATAGCAGCTGAATACAGGAAATTGAAGAAGTTAACCACCAACAGGTTTGGGGGAAATAATTAGATTTTTTACTAATTTCCTTTTTGCATTTTACAAGCCCATTGATGTTTTATATGGCGACATCTTAATGTATCAGATAATCAATAGCAAATTAAAGTTTGTTGTTTACTTTCCCAGTTAATGGATGTATTTTTGCATTTGAATCATCGGGTTTAAAATCGACGCGCATACCTTAAGTCATACAAATTTTGTATTTGTTATATAAAATCTATCGTTAAAATTACGGCGACTAAAATAAACTAAATGTTGCACAAAGGGGGCGAACTATCTCAATAAAATAGATTTTTCGTACTGTAATTTTTAAGCCTTATCCTAATATTTACATGAATAAAATTTATTTAGGGCTCACTAACCTCTAATTAACTTTTTAAAATAAATTTGGCTCAATAACTTGTTTCTACTAAGCTCATATGTTCTATAAGTATTAGAAAATTAACGTAATATACATTATACAAAAGAACATCTAAGAATAAAATATTAATTAATGATATATTTCATCCCCTTTATGTTGATGTTTTGCCACAACCAAAGTATATTTACCACTGAGTAGAGTAATATGCCATTATGGGCAATGCTATTTTATTTTAAAACTAATGGCTTTCTAGTTCGAGATTCATATGAAAAAGTTTGCAGAGCAAACTCTTACAACAATCTGATAATGATGAGAGCAAATATATAACAAAATTACCCAAATGACACATTTATCTCTTATTTTAAATGCATTAACTTAACATGCAAGTACCTCACTAATTATGGCCAAAGTCAAAGCTACTGCAATTGCAAATCGAGGGGGAGTACAAGCTGCCAATCCCAATCCAATTGATAGATGAGACCATGCAGGAATAGGCGATGCTGAGTTTTTTCCACGTTGCATTGCCGCTGGATGTTCCCCTGCAACAAATATAATTAAACTTAACTAAGAGAATATTAATAATTATATAAATCACAACACCTTGACTTTAATAGCATTTTACAGCACGGCGAAAACCGTGTATAACATCACATAACGTTTATTCGAATGCTGCGATTTTATTAATTTAATTTAGAGGGTAAGCGTTTACAAATAACGTTAGTTAGCACAAGTGTCTCTAATTTAAATAATTGTTACGAATTTGTCACTGTAGAATGGAGTTAGTGTTGCTTTAAATATTTCATCGATCATACAAGTAAGTGAAACGTTTATTAAACAAATAGTGGAACTGGAAATTATTTTCATTTTTTTATATGCTCGTCTATCTTTATTGCTGAAACATATTTATTATTACTGTTCGAAAAAAGAAAACAGTTGCTGAACAGTATTGTGCAGACTGTTAAAATTTTCAAATATTTCTAGATACTGTAGCCGACTTTAGCGTTACAAAACGAGTCAACTGACTTAACCCAAACATTTATTACTTTCTTATGAACACACAACAATAAAGCGTGCTTAATAATATATCATTATAACAAGCTTCTTTCAGTGGTACAATTTCTAAACGCTGGTAAATTAGTTAATAAAGTAAAAGTACCAAAAATACATTTTCTAGTTCATAAACATGTTAAAGCTGAATTATATTTGCTACATCATGTTTAAAATACTTGCTATCTGAAAAGTCGTTTGTGTATAAACATTATTATTCTCCTCGAAATTTCCGATTTTTGGTAGCCTTAAAACCAGTCTTGTTTACAAAATTGAATCATTTTTAATACGGATTCAATGTTTAAAATGTGTAAGCACATTCAGCTTATCAAGATCAACTTTCTATCGATTTATTATTTAAATTTATTTCCTTTGAAGAAGTCATAATCGAAAAGTGAGATTAAACCCCCAAACTTAGTAAAACGGAAAGTCAATTCCACACTCGTAGCTTTTATGTTAGGGAAAATTGCTTCCTGCCCCTTTAATTGCCATTTGGATTTTATTGCTATGATAGTAGAGACATAGAGATTCGAATCAACACATAACCAAACCATTTCTGACTCGATCTTCGAATTCACATTTTAGAAATGAATCTATATCAACGGCCAAGTTCGAGAAATAGGCAAGACTCTACAGAATGCAGAGTCTTAAAATATGCGAATAAAGATTTATCTATCTATAAAATAGGAAAGTAGGGCATGAGAGTATAGGATATTAAAACAGCTTTGAAAATATGGACGGAAATAAAACTAGAATTCATCTGCGCTGAAATACCATGAAATAATAATAAAGCAGCTCTTTGAGAATAATTCAGGAAATAAAACTCGGTTGATCGTTCAACAAAATCAAATTTCAAATATGCGTCCAAGGGAGATTATACTCCCATAAATTATTTACCCCTCAGGAAATTTGCACAAAATTGAATATGATTTTTATGTTTTGGAAATAATGTGTCAATGCTTAACAACTTTACGAGTTTCAGACCAAAATGTTTAGTAAAACATCCACATTTCTCATATTTAGAAATTCTCGAATTTTCACATTTGCATTTGTGGCACTGCACGTATTTTCGTCATTGTGTTAATAACGCTCGTGACTGTAAAATATTTCGACTGTAGGTGATAACCGGCGATAAAACCCAACCAAAAACCTGAATTTCAGCTACATGGCAATTGCTTGGAATTATTATTATTGACAACGTAATGACCACATTGATCGGTCTTCTATTTTCGAAACTTCTCTTAGCACACGTCTTCGTTTCCGTTCCCTTTTCCCGATTTTTAGCTACAAAAATATCCTCACATGCTACCTGACCGTTTAAAACTGGGGCCAGTTTTATTTGATAAGTCAATAAAGCAAAACTTGTTATCGCTGATCTAAAGTAATTATATGCAGGCAAGTGGCACCTTCAACTCCACCCTCAGTTACTCCCCTTGATTTTAACTAGTAGAAAACACGAGAACAAAATTTATATCCATGCAGATTTGATTTTCTGATGAACTTTGTTTTATGGACAAAAAGGCTTAATTTCAACTCGTGAAATATTAACAATGTTTAAACTAACTTCACTTAGCATATGTGTCTTGGCTTGTTCCAGCGTTAAGTTTGCCGTTTTTGCTTTAAAATTGTTTGATGCCGAGAGGTCAGCACAAATAAAGTAACTTACCGTTCAAAACGTGAAGAACAACTGACGATGAATCAAGTTTCGATGGGCTGCAGGTGTAGTTTCCAGAATCCTCTTGATTAGTATAATGTATGAGCAAAGTGCTCACTGTTGTATCAGTTCCTTCTCTTTTAGCATGTATATCGATGGCGCTTTTATCGTATGTGAGGACTCGCTCCCCGTCATGGTACCAGAATATATAGGCTGGCTCCTCTAATGCTTGGGTGATGACACATCGAAGCTGAACTCGGCTTCCCATTTTAACGAACATGTCGGGTTCTCCAGTTATTTCAATTTTTGGTACTGGAAAGAAAATTGTTTATCAGATTCAGTGATTTTTGAAATATTATTTGTTTATGGTGATTGCCATGTTTTCTCAGGCGTGTTGGTCTAAAGACGGTTTGATAGTGAAAATATACACTGAGTCCCAGAAGAAGCGGAGTATTTTGTGGCAAAAATGTTCGGACCTGTCAATTTTAATTTCTACATGCGATTTTTTTATATTAAATTTATTTATTCAGGGTGCTCCAGAAATCAATTACGAGCATCAACCTATTTTCTTGAAATGGATGCACTTGCTTTTTATTTCAATTTTGAATTCTGCATTGCATTCTAAGTATGATTTACGTATCATGTGCTATAGTTACACGAGTATTAGTTTAACCGAACAACAATCAAATTAAATGCTCAAAATGTGTGGCTAGACATTATTGAAGGCGATCGATAAATTCTTGTTGCATGTTTTCTTCCATTTTCTGAGTTATGGCACGCACACCTTTTGGGATCCACTTTTTCAACTCAGTGTGGAGTGGTGCCATATCGCGCGAATATCAGTTCTTTCAGCCTTTTTTTAACATCAACATCTGAGACAAGGAAAAAAGATATAAAAAAGGAATACAATTTTATTGCCATGTTTCAGAAATATAAACAATTCGAACATTTACTCATGTGGCAAGCCATCGAAGTATTGTCGTCCTTCAGGCCGCAAAATTATTTTAGATGTGGTAAATTTGCGCGCTTCAACGCTGACATAAGGACCAGAGGGAGTAGTAGAGATCTACTTCGACAGCCAGGCTGCCCTCAAGGCCCTCTCAAGTTTCAAGATGGGCTACTGCTCTAGTGACTGATCTAGCACTGCTGGGATGCCCTGAACAAAGTGGCAGAACAGAAACAGGTAAACCTAGTGTGGATTCCGACGCACATGGGGTTCGCGGGAAACGAACGGGCCGATACATTGGGAAGGCTCCGATCTTCTGAGAGCCTAATAACTGCCACACATCACAAAGGGTTAATTATCCGACAGGCACAAGGGCTTATAATGGGCTCTTAGAGGCACCACAGAGATATGGAGATATGTGGAAGGGTCTAGAAAAGCCAAAGAGTTGATAGGAAACTCAAGTGACGCCCCGGCAACATCCAAATGGTTGATGTCAAGGAGTCGCTAGGCCCTGAGAACTGTGGTTCGGGTCATGACAGGTCACTGTGGTCCGAACAGAAACCTACACCTACTAGACATTGGTGATAGCCTCGTGTGTCCACAATGTGGCATAGAGGAGGAAACATCATACCACCTATTAGGAGTCTGTCAGAACTGTCGTGCACTAGGAGGCGTCTCCTCAGGGCCTTCCAGTTGTCTTCCTGGCAGTGGAGACGGATCCTTGCCTTTATTAGGGAGACGGGACGCCTGGGTAGCGAAGATAAGGAGTGGTAAGGTGGGGATGGATTGAGGGGACCCATCGGGTCCCTCACAATACTGCTACAACTACTATCATCTTAGGTACGATTTCTCTTTATCGCATCTTGTTATTTGGTTAAATACTTTTTTTACCTCGTAAACTAATCGAGTCCTGGTACCTGAATTATAGTGATAATTTAATGGAGAATTTATACTCGAAATAACAAATGGGTGCCTCGATTTGAAAAAATTAAGTCGATGTTCGTAATTTATTTTTGGGTCACCATGTGTAAATAGATTAACCATAAAAAACTTGTTTTCCATTTATAATTTAGAATATATTGCCTATTATGGAACTCATTGAAGATACCCGTTAAGCGTTCAATGGTGGCATAACTTTCCCAACTTTATTAAAACGGAAATCCAAATGCCTGTGTTAAAAAACAGAAGAAGTATTCCGGATTTACATAGAATAGACGTTCCAAATCGAGGCCCCGGGCAACATTAAGATCTGATAGGGTTTCGCGTGTCCTCGTCAAATCACCGCACTCATTGTGATATGCCCGGCAATTCTTCTCTTTCAGATATTCGCATTCTGCTTTGTCCCATTTGGATATATTAAAATTTAATTTCCATATTTGTATAAAGTGCCTCTTAACTACAATCTTTGGTTACAATTCGCTGTCTTTTAAATATAGAACGCTTTTAGCTGTGCCAATGATTTATTCTAACTTTCTAGCTGGTTAACGGACTAGCCAATGAAGACACTTTACATGCACATGGGAACGTTTGTTTTGTGACTAAACATATTTTGATATTATAAAAGAAGCATTATTTAATTATATACAAAAAGATTGAAATCAGTTTCATATTTACTATTTTCAAATTCAGGCAGAATTGCGACTCTAAAATCGTGCATTGTCTATGAGTAGGAGAACTAAAAGTCCTGCCCAGTGACGCAAATGGAGCGAAAATCCCTTTGATGACTAGGACTAATAGGAGTAAAGGAAGCAGAGACAAAGACCAAGATTCAGCTGGAAAGAATAGAGATACTATTGAGAGAAGATGTTGCGGCTATTTATCCCAAATCAGCTTGTAAGTCGGTACAGTCAGTACGCAAGAAAGACCAGCTAGAACCTATAATGCAGTATATACACGCGACACAAGCCCCTACAAAAAACATCTAAACGAACTAGAGGCTGATCTGATATAGTGACCATTATATGCAACAGGAAGATGAAGACTACTAGGAAGTGAAAATTCCTATTAAATCAAGTCATGCGTATCCGTTTTAAATTGCTTCTTCTTGGCCTTGCACTGAATATTCAAGAGGAATGAAGGAGCGGAACAAACGAAGGCAGAAATGAGCGCACTGTATCGCTGAATGTTACTTCAACTGTCAGAGAAGAATTTTAGTGAATAAATAGTTAGGACAGAGTCCCACACCGACTAGAGTTACAGAAGAAGAAGAGCAGTGCATAAGAGATTATTTTCCAAACCTCATCGATAAAAAGAACGTGTGCGTCACTGGACTTTCAACAGAAGTAATAACTTCATACTATTAATAGAAACCATAAAATATTGAAATTGCTTCACGCATAGCAGCAGCATGCAGTGATAGCACTAATTTACACTTTTAATATTCTTGTTAAAGTATAATAATTTATAAATGTCATCAGGAATAGGTAAAATGWAATTTAATTTCCTTTCGAATGTAAAATTTATATTATATTTACAAAATTTAAAATTCTTCAATAGTTGCTGTTATCTACAATATCATTATCTACCCTACAAAAGTGACAATTGGTTTATGATAATTGTAATAAGAAACGAATTGTAACACTAGATCTTATCTTGCTCGGTGGTAGCGTGTTCTGGATTATTCATCATCTTTGATTGTAACTTTGATTCAAGAAATTACATTAAATGTTGCGCCCTATCAGAAGAAAAATCAATATTTCAATATCTACTTAAAATGAATGGAAATTTTTGGTAGGTTTGGCTAAGGCAAATAGTTTTCTTCCGAACTGTGTTTGTTGAACAGAAATCGTGCTAGAAGGAGCGATTCATCCAATTTCATTGCACCGGACTGGAGGTTGACCACTAGAACTGAAGTCCTTTGTACGCATTCCTACGAACCATTGCGATGTGCGAATTAGCCGAAACAAATGGGATTTGTTCGCAGGTTCGCAGTGTTTCTGACTGAATAGAGAATATTTTTGTAACACGCCGAACTGAAATGGATGTTGAAAACTGATAACTCTTTCTGCTTCGGTTTCATTCATTTATATTCATCAAAATCTTCATATTAACAATATAATTCTGCAAATTTTTTTCGTTTTGCTAATGTATCCGCAACCCAATAGTTTCTTTTCTTAAAATTTTAATTATTTAATTAAAATTTTATTAAATTAATTTTTAATCAATTTGATATAACATTTTACTTACAATGGCTTGTTCGGATCTAGTTTCTCTAGATCTATACATTGCAATGATATTGGATTAATAGATCCTCTGCGCACGATTTCTGACGAAAACGCATCCAAATGACACCGGCCCTTAACTTGATGTTTAACGCAGACATAGCCATTTAAAGCTTTTTGTCTTTGCTGGTATCCTGCAAGAGCCTTGGTGGGTTAGGGGTGTGGGTTTTGGGAGTTTGTGGGACTGAGAGCGAACGAAGAAAAGAGAAAAGTAGGGGAACGGAGCGAGAAAGTAGTGGTTTGTGGCGGTTGGTTTTAAGTTTTAAATTTGGAAGAGTAAGAGAGTTTAGGTACTTTCCAGGAGGTTTGAGATGTCGGGAAACACCTGCTTAAGGCGGGTGATTCCAGGGGGGGTCTGCCATTAGACTTGTCGGGGTTAGGTAGCGTGGGTTTGGGATAGTTTGGGAAAACGTGTCTTTAATTAGTGGGTTTGGGTGGTTAAGGACGCGAGTTTTGAACGTTTCATGAAGCTTTGAGACGAACTGTTGCACGGTTTCGATTTGAAGGTTCGCGTGATTGTGAGTTACGGACGTACCAGGGGGGTTTTGTCATTTTGCGGAGGATTTTGTTTTGGCAGATTTGGAGTTTCCCTATGGTTTTTTTGGAGGTTTGGCTAATGATGGGGGCAGCATAGCAAATTTGCGACCTGATTACTTGCTTGTAGAGCAGAGTTTTGTTTTTCAGAGTGAGCTTGCTTTTCTGGTTTAAAAGAGGGTAACGGATGCCGGCTGTTTGGCTTCCTTTGGTGATTATTTTGTTAATGTGCTCGACAAAGTTTAGTCTAGAATCGATGATAACGCCAAGATATTTGAGAGATTTAGAAAGTGGGATTTCGGTGTTGTTGAGCATTAGTTCGGGTGTGTTAGTGGGAGGTCCATGACACCGGCCCAAGGACTACACAGCATTATATTCACACGAACGGACCACAGGCTACACTACTCCATATATCAGACGACCGGGCCAATGGAATTCGAGGGCGGCTGTGTGTGTGCGAGAGAGAGCTGCGTATCTACTTGTTTTTATCTATGCTAAACATTACGACACCGTGGCGCATTCCATTAAGTTTGCCCCGTGCCATAAGAAGAATCATCATTTTATTATCATTGTTCTCATTATTTTATACATTTTTCAAATCTTTTTCTTGAACATTTGGATTCACAAATTTTCTTTGTTAAAGTCTTTCAGAAACATAATTTTTTCGTTTGTTTTATTACACATTGATAAAGAGTGCTTTGTGATTGATGATAATTGAGATAAATAAAGACAATAAATGACTGAAACCCAGGAATTAATTTTGATTTGGAATTGAAACACAGTCAGGAAAGTAAATACAAATTTAAATTTATTTATTAACTTTTTATATCAGTAAGTAGAAAAAGCTGCTCTAGAAAAAACTCTCTCTCAGTCTCAGTCGAGACAAATTTGTATGCAGGAAGTATTAGACGGATAGAAAGCCTAATTTTTTCGTGTGAGAAAAACCCTTACAATGTGCCAAAGACAGTTCAGTGTATTAATGTAATAAATTGTTTAGGACTAAAATCGTACTTACTAACAATGTTCAAAGTAATGAAATGGCTCATTTTGGGTTCTGTGCTAACTTGGCATTCGTATTGGCCGGCATCTCGGGCTTGGACATACTTGATTTGCAACGTCCAGGTATCACTACCGTCAACTCGAAACGTTTGAAATCTATCATCAGCAATAAATGTGTATCTATCTACAGTTAGAATATGACCATCTCTTTTCCTAATCCAAGATACTGATTTATTTCCTAGCTGCTTTACTTTGCAAGGCATGTATGCATGGGTACCCAGCTGAGTCGTAATGTTTGTTGGTGCACTGGGATCGAAATATGGTCCAGTGTATAACCCTGTAAATCTCTTCACTGCATGAGCTGCTTCTCCTCCGGAAAATACTGAAATAAAAAAGATATAAATTAGTACCTAATAATATATAAACCTAAACAGAAACGAAAATTTAGTACCAAATGGTGTTTTTTCATACAAAAATTATTTATTGAAGGTGACGCAGTTCAAGTTGGTGTTTTTTGTAATTCCTATTTCAACAAAGTAGCAACTTTCCTATCTTCTTACGTTAAATACGGTGGCATTAAATTTTGGCATCGCTCTATTCGATCGTACTTTGACAGTTCAATTACCAGGAGTTTTTCGCGCTTCCCGAAAGCTCCAATTTAATTTTCACGCTGTTTCGAGAGCCTCTTAAAGTTTCATAGTATCGTAAATATTTCACCAAATGTGCCAATCAAATTGGCTGCAGCTATAAACGGGTTATGAGTCGTGACGTTCTTGAGCAAGTGGTAAAATCCGAATCGGTCATCAATAGAATTTTATATTCATGGGTTATTTATGTGGTACTAGTACAAATAGTAGCTTCACACTGTGGTAGACGAGATAGCAGTATTCATATAAATACGTGGAAATAATTTATATTTTACTGATAAATACAGTGGAATCCTATAAATTATGATGCATACAGCAACCATTAATTAATTGTTCTATTTCCTTGTTTGTAGTGGGCTAATATAAAATTTATTAATTTACAAATCTCTCAATATGCGATATTTGATTTGTTGAGCAGTTCATGGCACAAAGGACTACATATCAAATATATATTGAAGTTAACTCCGAAACATAAAATAGAATTGCCTTTTTAATCGAAATATTCATACGTGCTCAATATGAGTCTTTTTTAAGTAGAATATTACAGATCCATTCAATACATTTCCATTGAAGCAATTACAGTTTCGCGCTTCAAAGCCAGCAGTGGAATGACGAGTTCCGCTATCGGGAAAAAGAAAATTTTAGTCAATTTCAAAGCCAGAACGATGGACTAAATATTTCATTTTTAATTGCCTTGATTTCACTACGGATCATATGCTACGTTGTGCTTTTCTCTTGTGGTTCTTAAATTCACAATATTCGCTCCAAGCAATCATTCTTTAAAATTTCTTTGAATTAATTGGTGCAAATACAGCATTTGTTGAAACAAACATATTACAATGTTGAAACAAACATATATAATTAAAATCTGGGCTATAAGTAATGAGAAAAACCGTTAGTTTAAGATTTCAAATTGTGTACGCATGAGCTAATTATTAACAAGATTTACATCTTTACGCAGAGGAATTGCAAAAAAATTTAAATATACATTGGTTTGTATCTTTATTTATCATGCCGTGTGAATCAGTTCATGCTCGAATCGTGTGTCATAAATTCGTAAATTGTGTAGGAGCATTTGCATATGCCTGGAGTAAACATATATAAATCACAACAAGTTATCTTTGCGCAGCTGATTAAAAATGCAAAATATAAAATGTTTTGTAACGTGTTCCGGCCGTAATTAAATTTTCCGGTAGTAATGAAATTTTACATAAATATTTCATCATGCACCTGCTTAAGTTTCATTCTACAAAACAAATTAATTTATGTTGACTTTTTCGGTTTAGTATTCTAATGCTTTTATTTTAAAGCGAGTTTAGTAAAATTTTAATTGTACCGTTCTGTCGGCGAAAATTAAAATCTGTTTTACCTCTTATTGTTGAAAAGACTTGAATTATTTGATTAACATTTTGAAACACTATAAATTTCATGTGTACATAATTCGTAATGGAAAAATATCTAAAAATAAATACAATTCAGTCACATTTTAAAATGTATTCTGCTATTTTTACACCATCATGTTTTTTATGTTGTGCCGGTTTTGCTAAGCATTAGAGAGTTACATGCAGCATGTTCGGCAAGCTTGTCTGGAAAACCGTGACACATAATTTACTATTCCAAAACTGCTGACTATCAGCTGTATATTAAAGTTAGTTTTCCCCATCAATCTCAGAACGTTATTAAAATATTTGAAATGAACAGCTTTGGAGCCATGTGTTGAGCTTAAAGAATGTGAGCGTTTTTATAACTACCAAGTCCGTTACATAAAATCCATTGCCCGACAGCAAATGAAACATATTTGTGCGATTTGAGATAATATACGAAGTAATTAGAGAAAGTGTAAACTATTGCTAGCACAGCTTCGGAATTTTAAAATAAAATTAAGCGAAACTTTTTAAGAACCTATTTTAAGCAAGCTGTCGTAATGTGTTCTAAGTTGCATTGTATCAAATATAATAGGGCGCATTAGACGGAAAGTAATTGTAACTGAAATACCCAGCAGAGGAGAACTAGCGAATTCGGAATTGTTTAAGTTTCCTCACTTAGACCACTGTCTCCCTTCGTTCAACTGTCGACAGTTATTTTATAACATTATTTTTCTAGAACATATAAGTCCAAATGGTTTCCAATTCGTATTCAAAATGGTTTGCGTTTGTTTGAATTTCTGAAAGCCATTTTCTTAAACAAATAGCCACGTGAGTCGTTTATTATTTTACACCCATGACTACGTAGCAATTTGTGGGCATATTTATTATTCCACGCTTCTTGTGTTGGACATTGATTGCAAAAATGCTTAATTCCCTGGATTTTAAATATTTTTCGTTGTTTAATTTTTATGTAGCATGGAATAGAATGGAACTTCGGATTGCGCTAGAAAGGGTGTCTATTATTGAGTAGATAAGGGTGACATTATTGAAGTTTTTGCGACAATAGCAGTACTATATTTAAATGCCAGTGGATTAAGACAAGTCGTTCGTTAAAATTAATCACCGTCTGTTTCTGCCAAGTGTGGATTAGCGTGGATTTCGAAATGAAGTTGCTAAATTGATGAAAATGTATCTTGCTAATCGTGTTGCATTAGCATTACGTAAGAGGTTCACTGTGCGCCACTTTTTATTCGATATATTGTTAACGCGTTCCATTTTATAGTCCTGCCCTTCTGGAACGGTTAATTTTACCGGATTACTTTCGGTATTCCACTAGGGCATTCCTGAGGGAAACATTTTATTGCTCATAGGGTGAGTTTGGTTGGCCCGCTAATCCTCTCCCAGACCTATTAGGTTATATGCATCGCAGAAAGTAGGGTTTTCCTTTTCAATCGATTTGATATGTTCAGAAATTCAGGTCGGCCACGGTTCTGCAACTAAGGCAGTCAAATGACAATTTATACAGGGTGAGTTTTTTTCGATGACCAGTACAGGGTTCTTCGAAACTATAGCAATTACGAAACAGGTTAAACTTACAAAGAATTGTAGTTTTGAATGCTCTACTGGAAATCAATTTAATTTTCTAAAGTTTGACAGCTGTCAAGAGATAGACGGAAAAACTTATTTATGGTCAATTTGTAAATTACTCCTAGTTCCGTTGATATTAATTTGACAGGAAAACATTAATTAAAAAAAGTTTAGGAAATTCAATTTCAAACAAAGCGGAATAGGACATTTCTCTAAAATAAAGTCAGTTTAGACATATGACACAAATTTCAAAATTTTTAAATGGCAATCATACTTGATTGTTGCTTTATCGAATAGAGGATTTTACTATGATTTCTGTGATATATCACATCGTTAGGATTTTTTCGAAAATAAAGGGTCTGCGAACAATTTATACTTTTTCAATTTAAGTCACGGAAAATAGTATCAACAACATCTTTGGATTTTTGACATTCAAGTTTAAATTCATTTTAGAAAGCTAAGTAGGCTACTAAGCTACTAAGCTCATTAAGTTCTATTGTAAAAATGAATTATTGCAGTCAAGAAAAGCGCGACATGATTTAAACCTACATTGGAAGTGATAAAAATGCTAGACGAGCCTCTGATTAATATGTTGAGAGGTATTTTGGCCGTGGTCAACCGTCCTTGGAAACATTCATATGATTATTCGACAATTTGGGCACTTGTGGAAGTTTTACGCAGCCAAAAAATGAAGATAAATTAATAAATGAAGCTGTGGAGGTTAATGTCTTGGCCATTGTAAGCCAGAATCCACAGATTTTAGCCAGAGAGATCGCAGCAGAATCCGGGACTTCCCAGAGCACTGTGATGAGAGCTAAAAAACACAAATTCCATCCGTATAAATTATCAGTATCCCAAAGTTTACATCCAGGGGATGAGGAGCTGCGTGTGAATTTTTGTACATGGTTCCGAAGCAAATGCCAACACGACATCCAATTCCCTTATAAAATATTGTGGCCCGATGAAACTCGATTTACAAATTGTGGTATGTTTAATCGACACAATGAACATCTTTGGAATGAAACAAATCCCCACAACGTTGAGCAAAGGAGACCACAAATTAAATTTGGGTTTATTTAACCCAATTTTTTCAGTAGGGTTATTGAGGCGGAAGTGGGTGCTATTAATGCTGACCGAAATAGGAGTTATTTAAAAATCTGTAGTACGTTAAAGGTGGCAATAACTTTATTTAATAATTAAGACGGCTGCTCATTTAAAGTGTTTATTATAAAAATCAAATCATACCAATAGGAATTAAAATTTAACTCTAAAAACTTTAACTTTTATTGTAAGATATTTTTAAAAAGTCGACCATTATTACCGTTTACATTGATAATAATGGTGGACTTTTTGAAAATATTTTACCATAAAAATTAACGTTTTTAAAGTTAAATTTTAACTATTATTGGTATGATCTGATTTTTATAATAAACACTTTAAATGAGCAGTCGTCTTAATTAAAATAAAGTTATTGCCAACTTTAACGTACTACAGATTTTTAAATAACTCCTATTTCGGTCAGCATTAATACCACCCACTTCCGCCTCAATAACCCTGCTGAATCCAATACCAAAACAGCCCCAACATTTCCACAGCCCATATAAGTCCAGGATGACTTTCCACCACTGTACTCCACGAAAAAAACTCCAAACCCCAACTAGACTCAAGACTATGTCTATGTGGATGATACAATCCAATGTAGAGAGTGCACCATAGAGAATGTATGTCTATGTTGTCATATCGAATTGACCTTAATTAATCTTGATCGGTATTTTACAGAT